CAATTATACAAAAGATTCATCCACAACTTGCAAATATTGTTTTTAATGTTTCTATTTCATATATTTTTTAAACAAAAATATTTTCAATCTCTTTGTCTTTGTAGATTAACAATGCCACCAAAAAAGAAACGAAAGATTGCACCGTCAATGCCACCTACAGAAGGCCGTGTTGCATTTGGAGAAAGATATAGCAAGATTCCTGATGATGCCAAAGATTTGCTAAATGGTCATCTTGTGTTAAAATTCATGGAGTTAAAATCTGTTGGTTCAACTCTAAAGTATTTTGCTGATCACATGGGCTTAAAAATTGCTTATCATAAAGTCCAAAGCCTTGTAAACAGAACAGTCAAGAAATACAAACATTTTAACAGAGAATTTGAAGTCACAAAATTATTGGCAATATGTGATGAGAAATTTTCAGATTTTGGAAATCAAACTTCAACAGAGCTGCCATCCAGTTCATCAGTATTGGAGCCAGCACCCCTAGATCCGGAAACATCGTCAGCTGAAACAGAGGCACTTATAGAGGTGCAATCGAGTTCATCAGTATTGCAGCCAACACCCCTAGATCCGGAAATACCACCAGCTGGAACAGAAACACTTACAGAGGTGCCATCTAGTCTATCACTGCTGCAGCCAACACCTGTAGATCCCTTAACAGTTGCAGTGAGGTCGCTACAAAGAAAACGTATACTAACACCTTTTAAGAAGAGACTTCTGCAACAGAATGTCACTTGGAGAGAAAGGTATCGCTGCCTTCAAAAGAAGTATGCAGAAATGAGGAGAAGAAATACAAAAACAAGAAAATCTGCTGTACAAATTAAAAATAAGTACTTAAAGCAAGAACTAAATCGAATGAAAGACAGACTGTTGAAGGAGAAAAGGAAAGTTGACTTGATTAGCAACACAAAAGAAAGATCTGCTGCAAAGAGGAAGATTAAGCGGTTGGAAAAGAAGAAAATGGTGAGTGTGGTGCAGTATGACAAAATATTAAAGGAAAATAAAGAGCTCAAAAAAAAGTTAAAGGAGAAAGATGAAGCATTGCTGCTCCGAGAAAACAAATGTTTAGAGTTGGAGGAGGCTTTAAAAGATGCTGTTAAAGAACAGGAAAAAATGTGGAATTGCAAGAGAGACGGCACAACTTTCAGTAACGAAACGCGAGAGTTAGTTTACAATATGCTGAATTTAGGTGTGCCAACTCAACATATAGAAGAACTGATTGTAAAATCTGGTTCAACATTTGGATACAATGTAGTAAACCAACCCAAGCGAAGCTCTGCTGAGAATATGGCACGAGAATTGGGAGCAATTTCTGATTTTCAATGCGCACAATTCATGCTTGCATCAGCTAATTTAACTCTTGGATTTGATGCGACTACTCAAGAGGGCACTCACGTGAATGGCGTATACATCAGTTCCAATGTAGAAAGTATGGTAATTGCCCTGGATGAGTTGCCTGGTGGAACTCATATCGATTATGAAAGCCACATAAAGGAAACAATAAACAACTTGGCGCATGTTTATAGCATGGTAAAGAATGAAAATGTTGAGACAGTGCATAGGAATTTGGTTGACTCAATCAGCAACACCCTGACAGATAGAGCAACGGTCAACCATGCAACTATAATGTTGTTAGAAAAAACATGGAAGAAAAATTTTCAAGAATTAAATTGCCACTTACATCCATTGGAAACAATAGCGAAAAGTTGCGGGGATGCTCTTTCAGCTGTTGAAAGAGAAAGGGAAATACAAGAAAAAACCTTGTTTGGTAGCGGCTGCATTGGGCAGCGTATTGTTTTCAACGTTAATAAACTGAGATATAAAGATGGGAAAGGTGATCCCCGGCAGTTCAAAACAGAACTAGTAAAGGCTGGCCTCAAGAAAGGTTTTATACCTAGATACCGGGGCAATCGCCTACACATATTGTTTCACATTGCTGGCCAGATATTCATGAAGGACAATTTTTTTACCAACCTTTTTGTTTCTGGTTTATCTAGCGTTAAATTGTCTTCAGCTTTGTCTGTTGTGTTTAAAACAAAACATGCAAAAATAGAACTGCAGGTGCTAGGTTTGATCGGAAGGATCATCTCCTCACCCTGGATGGGAAAATTTTATGTGAGTGCAGTTGAACAGCTTAATCATCTAGATGCATTCGACATAATCAGACATGCAATGGATAAGATCAACAAATTTGCAAGGGACCCATATTCTACCCTAACAACTAAGGTAAACTGCTTTGGGGAAGAGCTTGTTGATGCGAGCAAAATGCAAGTGCAACCAGTTGATCGTGATTTGTTCCTTGTAATGATGAAGCAGTGTTTGGAGGCTACAAGCAAAGTTCTTCATCGCCAATTTTCAAAATATTTTGAAATAGATATTACGGAAGAGTTGAAGGAGCAGACAGCATCTGCTAGATTGCACAACATAGAGGCTGAACAGATGATGGGGATGTTCTCAGCAAGAAAAACAATGAAACCAAATGCCACAATTGACTACATTGCATGTGGAATCAAGGCGCGAAAAAACAAAACGACATCTTTTCTGCATACCCTGGATAATGCAACAAAACAACGTCTAATGAATACAGCTATTTCCATTGGTAGGTTGCAACGCAAAGTAAGAAAGAGAACGACGAAAGAAGTAGAGGCAGAAATTCGCAAAAGGATTGAGGATAAGGGTCAGCAAAGAAATGATGCTGCGAGAAAGAAGATGGAAAAAGAACTGAAAGCAAAAGGACTTGATAAGTTATTGAAAGAAAAAGAGGAGTGGAAAGGATTTGAAGACCAACTTCAAGTCATAATGTCCGGAAAACTATCGGGCTACCTCCAGCACATCTGGTACGATTCAGAGACCCGGAAGTTGGAAGTTTACTGTGGCGCAGTGAAAAAATTTCTCAAAGGAAAGTCTGTATATAGAATAGAGTATTGGGGAACTGACGAATCGTACGAGGATGATGCGGAAAGCTATGATATCCCAATGTACTCTCTAGCCATTGACTTGACAGTTGGTGATCTGGTCCTGCAATGAATTAAAAAAGAAATATTGTGATGCATTAATTGTAAATATAGAATGATGAAAGTGATGTAAAGTGGGAGGGGGTGGGGAAGGGTTTTGCCTGTATGTGTAAATATATATACTGAAATTTATTATGAAATTAGATCTTGTTTGTTGGGGTATATGGTATAATACCTTAGTGTATATATTTTTTATTTAATTACTTTCTGATGTGTACGGTATTTAAACATACTATATATGCCTTAGTGGTTGGGGAAGGGATGGGGTGTGGTGTGGGTAGTAACTTTTATTTGTATGTGATGTATATATATTTTATATAAATATATATGAAATTTAAATATTTTTTTATGGATGGGGTAGGGTATATTGTGTATTAACTCATTACTGTATATGTTATTTAATTACTATAAGTATATTATTTGTACAGTTCCGTTATACATGGTAGGTGTTGGAAGGTTATTGGGAGGGTAAGGTGTAGTTGGAGATATAATTCTATATCTTAAATAAGGGGATGTCGGGATCTGAGAGGATGGGGGATTAAAAAGAAGATTAGAGACGGTAATGTATCATAACAATTCATTACTGTATACAGGGTATTTTGTTTGTTTAATCACTTCATAATGTGTGCAGTTATAGTATATATGCTGGGTGGGGAAAGATGGTGGGGAAGGGAGATGGTAGTGGTAAAAGAAGGTACAGGGGTAGTTCGATTTGCATTTTTTAGGAGTGTCCACTATGTCTGTATCTTATACACATCTTGATAGTAATGTATGACAACAACTCATTACTCTATGTATATATTTTTTAATTACTTTTTATTCTGTACTGTACTTTTCATATCTGGATCAGGGGAGGGGAGTAGGAGGGGAGGGGAAGGGAGTAATAAATGTGGTTCTTGTAGTTGAGGGTTGTGAAGTGCTTTGGGTACAAAATCTGTGCAAAAACAATAGAAATATTATTAGAAATAAAGTTTTAATTTGTTATATAATTTGTGTTAGTTGTATTAATGTCAAAAAGGTCACAATGTTTGCACATAATTCCTATACCAGATTTCCGGGAAAATAAAACATTTAAAAAAATCATATTAAATCAATCAGTGGGACGATTTCAACCAAATAATTTTTTTTTAAATGTTTGAAAGCTGTAGAATGTGTCACATGAATTTCATTTGAATCCAAACAAGATGAATTTTTTCTTAACATACCTACTCTATAGCAGACACGCTAGCCTCCTCCTAGGCCTAGTAGTAGTAGTGGTGATGAAGAGGCGCCTGGCCTAGCCTAAGGCCTAGGCCTAGCTGTAACGGTAAATACTAGCCTAGCCGCTGTACAGAGACTGAGAACTGAGGTTCTCTCTAGGCCATTGAGGATATAGGGCTAGGCCTAGAACCTGGACCTTTTGTTGGCCTAGCCAAGCTGTAAGTTAATTGCCCTAGTCTAGCATGCCATAAGATTAAGAAGAGTGTCCATGATGCTTTAATAAAATACCTTTAGTGTTAACCGGAAAGGGGGTGGTGTAAAGAATTGTATTATTATTTGCAGAAAGTTAATGTATTAAATCTCTAGGCCTATACTAAAAGTGGTGATTTTATTTCAGGATACTCAAGTCTCAGTTACTATCGTAATTAAATGAAAACTCAATCCAGTCAACTCAATCTTGTAGTTGACAGCATTAATGTTTGTTTAAAGACGTATCTGTGAAGGAACAGAAAATTACCTGACATTCTATAGTGCTTTAATAAAATAATCGGTTTACGGTTAACCGGGGGGGGGGGGGTGAGTGTAAAGAATTGTATCATTATTTGGAGAAAGGCCTATACTAACAACATAAATGGTGACTTTATTTCAGGATTCTCAAGTCTCAGTAACTAGTCAACTCAATCATTGTAGTAGGAAAGCATATTAATGTTTGTTTGAAGATCTACATGAAGGAACAGAAAATTACCTGACTTACTAAAGGTGAATATAATGTTTTGTTGACGTTTTATTTTTACTGTCCTGTACTATTAATTATTACAACATGCTATAGATGATGCTGTAGTTTACACGATAGAGTTTAGTCAAATTTAATGTGTATATATTAGGCCTATGTAGGCCTTAAGTGATATTGAAATTGTAATGTAGGCTAAAAGCTGTTTTGAGAACTAAAAAAAAAATTTTTTTTTTATTAAAAAAGAAGTAAACTGCTGTCTGTCATTAGCTACATATATGTATATTACTCCTATTTCAATACAATAATAAAGGGATGTAATACATTTAATAGCGGTTTCTATAATATGCACTCTATATACTGTATAAGTTTACCATTAGTATTCTTTTTAAAGATTTTGTTTTGTTATATCTTTCAGCAAGAGTGAACTCCGAAAAATGTTAGTACAAGTCACAGTGATTCGATATTTCAAAATAGATTTGTTCAACGTCATAATTCATACTAATTTAGCTTGGTACCATCGCACAAGAAAAGGCATGGTTATGGACAGTTGCTGCTGCAATATCACAAAGAATGCTGGTTTATGCACATCTGTAACACAAATAGTTCTTGAATATTGTTTTATATAATAAACTCTTGTATTAGGACTACATTACAAAAAAATGCTAATATTTAAACCGGACTATAAAGCAGCCTTGAATTTGAGGTACAGTATGTTTAGCAGTAAGACGTTAGCAAAACGATTATAAATGAAGGGGTACTGTATGCTAGTAAATGAGACCCTAGGGAAATAATGTCCCTACCGTATGATGTTTGTTGGTGTTTTAAATTAAAGAAATTATGGTTTGTATATGAACTCATAGTGTATTTTGTAAGTCTGCAGAAGTTGATTAAAGCCATTGTTTCCAAGTGGAACTGGGACCATTGAAAACCAAAATTTGGAATTGAGGCCAGTTAAAGTTGAAGACCAGTTGAATTGTCCAAAAACACACAACACCAACATTTTTTTTTTATAGAATATACAGATTGTCTATATAAAATTGTTCAATTTATATACCGGTACACTTTCTATACAATTGTATAGAATTTCTAATCGCATATTTAATGTATTTTTATAGGTTTTTTCTATAAAATGTTTATAGATTTATAAGTGGTTTATATAAAATTGTTTATAGATTTTCTATAGTTTTTTTTTTATATAAAAGTTTCATAGACATTCTATAGATTTTTAATAGAATTTTCACCCACTTTTTTTTTTTTTATAGAATACACAGATTTTCTATATAAAATCTTCAATTTATATACACTTTCTATACAATTGTATAGAATTTCTATTCGCATATTTAATGTATTTTTATAGGTTTTTTCTATAAAATGTTTATAGATTTATAAGTGGTTTTTATAAAATTGTTTATAGATTTTCTATAGTTTTTTTAAGGTTTTTTTTTATATAAAATTTTCATAGAAATTCTATAGATTTTTAATAGAATTTTCATAGTGTTTTATATAATTTTTATAGATTTGTAAGTCTTTTAATATAGTTTTAATATATATTTTATAGAGTTTTTATAAATTTTTTATAGTTTTTTTATATAATTTTAATAGATTTTTAATATAGTTTTAATAGATTTTTAATAGAGTTTTAATAGATTTTTAATATAGTTTTAATAGCTTTTTAATAGACTTTTTATAGTGGGCTTCTATAGTTATTTCTATAGAATTTTCTATAGATTTTCTAAACAATTATGCTATAGACATTCTATAGTTTTTTTTTGATAGAATTCTATAGAATTTTTTTGTATGGGAGGCATCCATGTGTAAAGCAGTGATGTTTATTTATCCATGAAAAAAGCACGCGGGGAAAATTTGC